CAGGTTAGATAGAGCGAGTTCAGAACTAGGACAAACCTCACAATTGTAAAGAACAGGACACTATCATTTAGCTCCTTGATCACAGCTGATTAATGACACACTGCCTGGGGGGTGGGGGAACTATTATAATGTTTTGGGAGGTGGCTAGGTGATCACTTGAGGCACCATGCTGTGTGGAACAGTGTACTGAGGCTAGGAAGGTGCGATGGGAGTAGATGGGTGATCAACGGCCAACGTGGACACGGTAGGTCTCTTTCTGTGCTGTGAGATCAAGGAAGAACATTACATGGAGTGAATCAAATTGGCTGAAGACTGGTATCTGTGATGCCGAAGACCACTGGAGGCCAAGATGTATCATCCACTCAGCATTTCTGACTGAAGATTGTTGCGAATGCTTCAGCCTTGTCTTCTGCGCTGGTGCTGGGAATAATGGTGGAGCCCCCTCTTCCAGGGATGACTTTAATTATCCACCACCATTCATGACTTGATACAGCAAGACTGCAGAGCTTAGATCCGATTCCGTTGGTTTTGAATCACTTAGCTCTGTCTATCTCTTGCTGCTCATGCCTTTGGTTTGTAAATAGTCCTGTTTTGTAGCTTCACCAGGTTGACACCTCACTTTTAGGTACACGTGGGAATGCTCTGGCACACCTTACTGCACTCTTCATTGAACTAAGGTTGATCCCCCCACTTGCTGGTATTAATAAGGAGTTGGGGATATATTGGGACATGCAGATTGTGTTGCATCTGGAACTCTGTCTACGAGGCAGATAGAGGCACTGTAATATTTAAATATTTAGATTTGCACTTGCAATGCCAAAGCATACAAGGCTATGGCCAAATGGGCCAAGTGCAGGAAAACAGGATTAGAATAATTAGGTGATTGTTTTTGATTGCTGCACACTTGATGGGCCAAAAGGCCTTTTTCTGTGCTGTAGACTGCTATGACTCAATACTTCCATAGAGGGACCTTTGCCTCTAATCCTTATTTGGGGACTTGCATGAACCAATCACAGTTTAAAATTTGCAACTGATTGAATAAACTGCTTTTTAAACACATTCCACCACCCTATTGTGGCTGTATAAAAATGTCTCTTCCCGATTTATCTCATGATCTTATTGAATTACAGAGCAGGCCGTAAGTCACAGGAGCAGAACGAGGCCATTTAGCCCATCAAGTCTGCTCCACTATTCAACGAGATCATGGTTGATCTGATAACCCTCAACTCCATTTTCCTGCCGTTTCCCTACAATCCTTCATTCCTTTACTGATTAAAAATCTGTGTCTCAACCTTGAGCAAGAGAATCTGTGGGAAAGAATTCCAGGTTCACCACCCTCATAACAGACTCCTCAACTCTGATCTAACTAGGCAATCCCTTATTCTGTGATTATACCCTCTGGTCCTAGACTCTCCAAGATGGAGAAGCAACTTCTTAGCACCCACCCCATCATGCCAACACCACCTCCCCACTTCCCAATAACTTTATGCTTTAATGAGGCCACCCAGCCATTCTTCTGAGGTCCACTGAGTTCTGGCTGAGCCGACTCAACATCTCAAGAAAATCCCTCCACACCCAGGATCAGCCTCGTGAGCCTTCTCTGGATCACCTCCAATAGCAATATGTCTTTCTGTTGATAAGGGTCCTAAATCAGTTCACAGTATTCCAAACATCAGGCTCAAGGGTCGACATTGCCTACTCTGACTCCCAATTCATACGGATGTACCCCTAGGCCATGAGTTGGCCTTTCATAAAATCGACTGAGGCTGATACTGTTGGCGCTCTGTCCCTGTGAGCGCCGTCCGAGTTTGTTTTATATTCAGAAATAGTAGGAACTGCAGATGCTGGAGAATCCGAGACAACAAGGTGCAGGGCTGGATGAACACAGCAGGCCAAGCAGCATCATAGGAGCAGGAAGGCTGACGTTTCAGGCCTAGACCCTTCCTTAGTGTCACTGGCTTGACCAGCATTAGTTGCCCAGAGAGGGGGCAGCCCAGTCACCCACACTGCTGTGGGTCTGGAGTCACATGTAGGCCAGGCCATGGTGTGGATGGCAGATTTCCCTCCCGAAAGGGCATTAGTGAACCAGGCGTGGTTTTCTCAAAAATTGGCGATGGGTTCACGGGGTCATCATCAGACTCTTCATTCCAGGTTCAAACCGGTTTCCCCAGAACATTAACCCGGGGCTTTACCACCAGGCCCCAGGCCTCCCCGTTGTCCCAGTGAGGCCGGACAGAGTCTGGACGGACGGTGCGGGCGCTGCTCGAGGCCTGTGTTGTTGTTAGGCCTCAGGCCTCTCCCCCCGGCTGTTACTCACCCCTCCGTGTACTCGGCCTGCAGCAGGCCCAGGTAAGCCTCCCACTTGTTGCCGACCACCTTGCCGCAGGTGAAGCAGCGGACCGGGATGATCATGGCGCCGTCACCGGGAATGAGTTGGGGGGGCGGGGGGAAGAGCAGGACTCCGCTTCTGGAAACTTCTCCGAGCGTCGGCCCACTGCGCATGTGCTGGGGATGATGACGTCCCGCGGGCAGATTGCGCATGCGTGCTGAGCTGGGTCTGCGGTGAGGAATTGGGAGCAGCAGGGGGCGCTGTTTCTCTCAATTTCACCTCCAAAGTGGGAGTAGGGACGTGGGGTGCGTTTCAGGGACTACTCGGCCAACACTTTGTTACCCATTACCTAATTTCATCCTTGACAAGGTGTGGGTGGGTTGCCGTAGAACCATAGCAATGAAACAGCACAGCAGGGGGCCATTCAGTCCATCCTGCCTGTGCTGACCCAAATGCCCTTTGCAATCCCACCTTCCTGCACACAACCCATAGCCTTGCAGCTTACAGCACTTAAGGAGCAGATCCAGGTACTTTCAAAAAGAGTTTAGAGTCTCTGCCTCCATCACCAACTCAGACAGCAAATTCCAGACACACATCAGCCTCTGCATAAAACAGTTTTTCCTCAAATCTCTTCTAATCTTTCTGCCGCTTAACTTGAATCTGTAACAGAGATTGTGGGAACTGCTGATGCTGGAGAATCTGCATCAGACGAGCAGGAAAGCTATGCTAGACAACAAGGTGTAGAGCTGGATGAACACAGCAGGCCAAGCAGCATCATAGCAGCAAAAAGGCTGACGTTTCGGGCCTAGACCCTTCATCAGAAAAGCTATGCTGCTTGGCCTGCTATGTTCATCCAGCTCTACACCTTGTTATCTAGCATAGCCCTGGTATTTGAACTCTGTGTCAAGGGGAACAGGTTCCTCTTGCTTACTCCAGCTCGACGCCCCCCCCCCTCACAATTTTGTATATCTCAATCATGTCACTCCTAAGCCGTCTCTGTTTCAAGGAAAATAACGGGAACCTGTCCAATCTCTCCTTGTAGCTACAATTCTCCAGCCCTGGCAACATTCTAGTACATCTCGCTCACACTTTCTGCAGAGCAATTAGATTCTTCCTGTATTGCAGTGACCAGAACTGCACAGAATACTCCAGTTGTGGTGCCACCTGTGTTTTATACAGTTTCATTATTATCTCCATACTTTTGTATTCTATACCTCTGCCTTTTTGAACCAATGCAGAGTATAAGTAAA